TATTGTTAGCATTATTTAATAATTATATTGTCTACTATCTGTCCCTGGATCCACGTATAAATTTTGACCAACGTTCGTAAAGGTTACTTGTAATTTTCTTTATGAACACTCTTATAATATGCCGCGCTTTTCAAACCCGTTTCTCATACACAGTGTTCTGTGCAATTTTGTAAGTTGTAACTTACAATCAAGATGGATAAAAATTTCATTAATTGTAAGCAGAAAATTAGATAGTTCCGATATATTACATAATACTTGCTTCAGACAATTCAAAGATTTCAAGATCATCTCTATATATTTTTTATACATCATTCTCCTACAAAAATTTCCTACAGGATTAAAGTACCTGTATTTGGAATTGACTAGTTTAAAAGATAATTTAGCTATGTTTTAACTACAAACTGAAATAAGGTAGTGCTTTATAGATATAAAGTAGAGTACTGCTTTATATCTTTCCTTATCTTTCATATGCTTAAGTTTTACAATAAATCACACATTACAAAATTAAGGTTAAAATATCTTCCAAACTAATTATTTTATTATAAGAATCTTAATATTTTTCTTAGAGAATAAAGAGCGAAGCATTAAAGAAAAAGCAGAGAATAAAGAAACATCGATAAAAAGATATAATTCAGTATAAAAAAAAAATAGAAATGACTAAAATCTCTGAATTGTCTACATGTTTAAAGCAGTATATACGTACCATGTGTTACATTCATTCAAAACTACTTAATTCTGATTTAATTCCTATCGCTTAAAAGCTGTAGCTTGGTCTAATTGGAAGCGTTTTATATATATTTACGTATATTAACAAAATCCTATAATTAATATTTCAAAAATATAATACTAGATGCAATGAAAAATTAATTTAACGAAAATTAATTCTAGCATAATTAGAGTACAATTAGCTTGTATTTCATGAATTTTATTTTTGTAGATTGCTGCAGCGATACGTAAGTACCGAAATGTATATGTATGTACATTTAAGTGATAATAACGAGCAATATTTATGTACAAGTACACCGAATTATAAACACTAAACATTCGTCACACTTTACACATAATTCTCTAAAGCAATCAAAAAGTTTTGACGTTGTACCGGTCCTTTGTTTTTTAGTTTTTTTTTTTTTTAAGTGCTCATTATGTCAAAACTACATAATTGGAGTGAAATATGGAAAGTCATATGTTTCTTTTGTTTTGGCACAGCTCATTGTAAAGAAAAATAAAAATATATATAATCATAAAACAAATAGGAAACGAATGTGTTTTTATCAGTAGCGCAGCAATGGAAGAAATATTTCTAATAATTGTTATGTATCCACTGTTTCTTTTTTTTTTTTTTTTCTTTTTACCAAATATATCAGATATTCAATGAGGAAATGTCCCTTTAGCTTGGAAATATTCGATGTTTGATAAGCCCTTTAGCAGAACGATATGTGCTATTTAACAATAATAATTCGATTATGAATTTGTCGCAAGGTAACTGGGCACGCAATATTTCACGATTACCTTACGTATACACGATTCGCAATTATTCGTTAAGCCTGCATAATTGATAATATTGGTCTCGCATACAAATACATAATACAGAAATTGTCATGCAATTTTTTTTTAAAAGCGGGGTATATTACAAACTTAACAATAGCAGTAGATATATCAATCAATTTATGCAATATATATATATTACAAAATTGTATTCCCCTTGTTAACAAAGTCCGTTATTCATGTTTTCTCCTATTTTTCTTTCTCTTTTTGTCTATTATCGAGTGAATTATCCACCATTGTAAACATTTGAAACATGCCGGTTTGTCAGTTGCTTTTTCATCTATGATATTCTAAATACATTTTCTCTTTATTCTCTTGATATACATCCATTCGTCCATCCATCCGTTTTCTTTTAACATTCACACAGTTTCTCTTTCGTATATCATTTCAACTATTTTCTTCACTTAATAAAAATGAATTGATCGTATTAGTGGTCACATCGATAAAATCATCATTTATAACAAACAAATGAAATCATTATAAAGTCTTATATTTTTTTTTTATTATTTACGTATAAATATTGTTAAATATGTATATTAAAAATTTGCTACACATTTCATTTTACACGATTATTTTACACAGAATTTGTTATTCTATCCTGTTAATGACTTAAATTGATTAAGTAACTTTTTGTTAACTGGACACGAATTCTTCTTGCATCAATGAAGATAGAAGATTATACTAACAGATTCGATTTTCATCTTTATAACGTTGTTCTATTTTCCTTTGTGTCGTTACAAAATGAGAAAAAAGAATACGGCTGTAGATCGGATTCGAGCCTGAAAAAAGTGCCGATAAAGATGATTCCTGTATTCTTTGTTATAATCGTTTAATCGTGTATTGTGATCAATAAAGGGGGGGGAAAAAAAAAAGAAACAAACGAAAATTAATCGATGCTGTGTTTCGAGAAATTGAATCGCCATGTCACGGTATCAAAATCTAAACTGACTTTATACTGCATACTAAAAAATAGAATTGTGTGTGCTGCCGAACGAGGAAAAACTCGTCGGCAGCTGTTTCTCGCTTAGCAATTGTCACCAAGCGTTCAGAATTACTTTCGTTGACGCTTTCGTGACTCGATTACTTCGATTGTTAATCGGCCCGAACGCTTCCTTCGCCCTCGGTTAAATGAACACGTTTTATCTCGTGTACATATTGAATCGAATGCACCTCCCTTTAAACAATAAACTAAACCAAAAGTTTTTGCTAATAACGAGACACGACAGTCTTATATTAACGGTAGACTCGGCTTTCAACAACCTTTTTCTTTTGTTTTCCATCGGCTTGACGATCTTCTGAGTTCAACGCGAAATAAAAAAACCTAATGCATTTTTCGTTATTAGTAAATCACAATAGAAATTATTAAACACCGATACTTCTTTCCCGAAGATTTTCTGTCTATCGACTATCATTATTCACTGAATATATTTTAACATACCATCGTCCATGATACGCGTTGTACACTGCGGGTATCACTAATAATATAGATGAACGATAACTGCGTTTCGACGTCCTTGCCTTCTCGGGAATTGGCTCAAATATTGTTTCAAGTATGGCGGATGATGACGTACCGTAAACGTGAGTTAACATTTGGGCCGGAAGAACTTTACAATTTCCCGACCGGGTTAATATCATTTCTGACGTAAATTGTCGTTAGCTGCTCCGAAAAGACACGGAAATTTAGACGGATATCTCGTAAGCGGCACACGTTCTTTCCTGTTTGCAATAGGAGACGCGTAACGACGGCAATTCTTGTACAATCTCCGTCCAGCCGCAGGATGGTGCGGAGACCGTAAAGGTGGGCTATACAGATATCTCATAGTTCATATCGTAGACACTAGCACGGTCCGGGGTCGGTGTCGTGGGCCGCTGCGATCTACTGTCATTAGGCGCTGACACCATCTCCATAGAATCTGTCATTTCCAAAGCTCTGACAAAAGACATTGGTCTGCGTCGGGTATCGCCTGATGTTGGAGTGGTTGGTGTCGCCATTGTGGCTTTTCGTTTCACTTGTGGCGACTGATGCGGCGGGAAGACCGGTACTCCACCTCTCATTGCAGGATGGTACGCTGCTCTAGGTGGATTAGCATACAACTGTTGTGTAGGACTCGTCGGATTGGAACGGTAGTAATCGTACGGTGGTGGAGGTCTTTGCGAGGGTGACTGTTGCGTAGTTGCATTCGCCGTTCCGGTTGGAGCAGGATAGCTGCCAGGAGAATTATCTTTCCACATATAGACACCACGTTGAGGTGAACCCGCTAACTCTCGGATATTGTCGACAGTATTATTAGTTCTTGAGTACGAATGATCAGTACCTTGACGAACGAGCTCACTTTCTGACAAGAAACGTCGCTGTGGGCTGTAACCGGTCACGACGGCACCACTAGCACCACCAACACCGGTGTTATTTCCTTGCTGTACATCGTAGTAAGTCGGCGCGTCGTTAACTCCTATAAAATCTGGCCGACGAACCTGCGTCGGCGTACCTGGATTTGATCTGTAACAGAGATACGACATTTTAACCTCTGCGCTTTCAGATTCTACACTTAGTGAATTGAAATATTCGACAAATGCAATACAATAATACAGTGAACCAAGATGAATATGCGAGTGCTGAGCATTGTTAGCCATACAAATACGGCTCTGGCGAGACATACAGGAGAGAGAGAACAGCGCATCATTCCTGTTATAAAAATTAGCATCTATCCAAGAAAAAGTAAAAACGCAGCGAACCTAGGATATACATATGTGAACATTTACTTGCGTGTTTGTCGACTGATACATGTATAAATATGTATATATACTCGATGCCCCCCGTCAATCATTTTAAGCCCTTTCATTATTTTAAGTAATAAATGAAAATTTTGTTAAGAAAAATTGCGTGATTGCAAAAGATATGTAATAACAATAGTTTCTTTGCGAATGAAGACGATCAATCTTGTTTCCTTAAATGGAATATCCAATTTTATATGATTTAAATCCAATGGAACCTCTCTGTACCCCTACAAATTGAAAATGTTTATTTGTTTTTTGAACGAAAACTTCATATTACAATTGCTATTTTAAGTACATTTTCTATAATATA